CAAATGTCCAATACTGCAAGGCGAACCCAGAAATTGAACATTTTTAATTGACCAACTATACTCTCAAACACTTTTCAGTATTCAAATATCCAGTCAAAAAATTAAAATGTACAACGTAGTAGGCACTTGCATGAGCACGCCAGTTGCAAACATTATTGTTGAGTGTATGCACAGCACTGAACCCTCCACTATAAATAATCAACAAATGATTGAATCAATAAACTTACCACTTGAAATTCTGTTGTGCCCGACGACGCAGCTAAGATGAGCTTTAAAAGTTTCAAATGGTGTCCAGTATCCGTTTCAGTGCCATAATTGTTCCAGTGAAGTGGTTCAAGGGGCCATTTGAACCCGATGGCTTGGGAATTACTAGTGATCTTGATTTCACATGCGACTCCAGTACGGATGGTTGCAAAAACCTGCAAGAGCTAAAGATGGCGTATTAGCTAAGATGCTGGAAGTCCGAGGAGGGAAAGGAGAGGGAGCGTTAGAGCTGTGAGAATCAAGGTCACACCATGATTTACTCAATTTGTGGTGACATTGAAATATACGGACAGAAATGATTAGCTTTTGGTTTTGGTTGTAAACAATATTTTACCTTTTTTTGGCCGTCTTGATTGATATTAGTTGGAGTATCGAGCTCCAAAATCGTGTCTTGTAGAGGCGCCGACTCCCGCAGGTTTTTACAGACGGTAGACCACGCCGTCGGGATGTTGAGCACGCCGCGGCATCGTCCCAGGCACGGATTTGTGCGGAAATCCGCAGAGCCCACTCGGCAGTGCTCTTCGCACCACAGTTCCATTGAATCCTGGAAACAAAATTAGAGCAAGTTCTAGCAGGTTTGCGTCGGTTCTTCTTATGCCACCCAAAAATCAAAGGAATTAAGACGTAGAACACAAAATTAATTTTGTAGTAAGAAATGAACTTGTTCTTTGTTTAATTTAAATTATCATCTTTATTACGGTTGGTGGATCCAAGAAATGCGTCCATCGTCTGCCGTTACGAAACTGCTTCGTTCATCAAGGTCCCAAAGCGCCTGATAGGTAGACAACACCACGCCCGTAGTGCTTGTGTGTTCGGCGGGCTGGCCTACCCTGAGTCTTGCAGGCGCCGAACTCTCGTAATTTTCCGAAGGATCGAATGAAAACAGTACGGTCGAGTAGTACGGCGTTCTTGGGCAATATAAACAAGCCCACCAAAAAGCATAGTGGGATCGCAATGCGATCACATCCATCCTAGCGAAAAACTGTTCCGACGCTTCAGCCCTTGTTTCGAATCGAGCGCGCGCGCGGCAGCGAGCAAAGTCAGCTGACGACAGAACGTTCCCTCATTTGGTCAGCCCCGAAGAACAGTACTTCCTCCTAGGGATCGTCTCGAAAGTATATCCATTCTCAGATTCATTCGATCATTCGACAAATTATGAGAGCTCAGCGCCTGCGAGACTTGAGGTAGGCCATCCCGCGGTACACGCATGCACTGTGTGTGCGATGTCGCCTACCTACCAGGCGCCGTCAGACCTTGAATTGGCTGAACTGGGCAATATCGTAACGGCAGATGACGGACACCCCTCTTAAATTATCCAACTACAATAAGGGCGACACTTTACTAACAGAATTTTAAAGGCAGGCAATAATTCCTTAGCACAGAATTAATCTGGAGTTCTACGCCTATGCCTCGTTTTCCCTTCCCAGCTGGACCTTCCTTTTGTACCCTGATCCGGGCTCGAAGACCGCGAATAATTATTTTAAGTCAAAAATCTGCGCGGGAAATTCAATGCTCACATAGTGGCCAGAAGATGGGATTTTCACCATCCAAGAGTTGTCAATACGCACCGCCACGCCCTACGTTAGCAGACAGCTCTTAGTATGGGAGTTAACTCAAGCAAGGTCGTCCCACTCCCATTTCTGTCGTCTCGAGTGAGCCGCCTAAAGGGAAGGCTAATTGTGCTACAATACCCCAATGTGTAGGCAACATACGGTGCATCGCCCGCTCTGTCGGCCAGGCCTTATACCGCGCCTGAGTTGAGGTTGCTCCGTGTGGTGTGATTATCGCGACAAAACGCCAGACAAAAATCTCGGTCAAAGCCGAGCACACAAAGACTTGGGGAATTAGTCACGTCTCTTTTTTCTTTGTGAAAACCTCATGAACTTTATTACAACAACGAATCACACTATAACACACTAAATTTAACACACACCAGAAAGAAAAAGACCGGGAAACACTGTTATTCAAGGAATGTGACGTCACATTCGTTTCAATGTGAAACGTGTCACATTCGTTTGAATATTGTGTCACATTCATTTGAACGTGACTTCACGTTAATTGATGCTCAAATGGCGCCAGGCTTGGCCGATTCACGATTAAACGAATATGACACAACATTCGAACGAATGTGACACGATTCACATTGAAACAAATGTGACGTCACATTCGTTGAATAACAGTGTAACGAAAACCTTTTCTGCCAGTAGTTAAGCCCCGTAAACTTAGAATACAGATCCGGGACACCCCTTGCAAATCACGTCTACGGACGGGGGCAAAAGCTTCCGGATTGCCCTTCGCTGTAGCAAGCAGGCATCGACCTCCTCGCATGGACTTTCATCTTCAATGTGGACGAGGACGAGACGTCTCAGGGCCTGGAAGCCACACGTCCCCAGGAGCTCGGGCAGGTCGGGAAAGTACCACTTCTCTTGGCCGTCGTTGACGCCACAGTATATTTGGAGTTCCTGCAGCGACTGGGCATGGGCGCTGAGCAGGGACCGCAAGTTGGCCCTGTGGTCTACATTGAGAGCCACGCTCAGCCACAGCAGCCCGCCGTGCATTGGCCGAGGGAAGGACACGTCGTCTTGTAAGTAATCCTCCACCAACAAGCTGCGC